AGGTGTTTTATTTATGTTCATAGGTTTTGATACCATATTGGATTCAATTATTATTGTGTTTCACTTTGCATGTTTTGACTTCCCGAATAAACTAGGTTATTCTTCCGGAATGACTAAGTTATTCAAACCATCCACAGTCGGTCATATGTTGGAAGTAGATATGAATTAAGACTGTCATGGGTTGGCTTGTAGAGGTCTAAGGTGTTGGACAAAGGGCTACAACACTCATGAGTGCTCATAAGTTCTGAGTATTGGATTCAACCCGCGCTCATTGGAATCACTTCATGGATTTTATCACGAGTGATCATGAGACGATAATATCTTATATTCTTCAAACCTAGAGATATGAGTTGTTACTATGAGTTGGTTGTACATTGATTGCACGAAACGCATTTGGTAACTCGGTGCTATAAAACGTGCCTTTGTGTATGATTCAACAAGTAGTAGAACAAGCCATATGAGTCGAAGTTTATCCATTCCTTTTACCTTCGGGATAAAAGCGATATCTGTGGGCCCCTCGATGATTTGATGATGACAAATGGAAGTGCTCGGCCGGGCCAGGACTGATTTGATTTGTTCAATTAGTCAGTCGTCATAAATCGGAAATCGGGAAACAACAAATGGACAGAGAGAATGATTATAATCCATGTCTCAGTCCATATGATATCTAGAATGGAGGAATATATGATCCCTTATCTAATGGACAAGTCATTGACAAAGGTCAGAGTTCATCTACAAGGTCAGAGTTCGACAGAAGCTTTTGAGAGCTACGATTGCCAGTTGGTTCCTGAAGTCATACGCAATAATAGTTTTAGACTTATCCAAGTGGGAGACTGTTGGATTAATGTCTAAGTCCATAACTATAATTGGTAAGACTTGACCCGACCCGGCATGGTCCATTTGGGTTGCATGGCATCATGCACTTGGATAGACTATAATGAGAGAAATAAGACACTTATGGTTATTAATATATTATAAGTTCTAGTATATTAATAATAAGAATAATAAGATTATTTAATTAGTATTGATCAAGAATTAATCTAGGATTAATTAAGTGATCAAAAGAAGACTAATTAAATATATGGGTTGATTGTGTAAATCATCCATACTTGTATAGTGGGCTAATGCTCCATGGATTATCTAGTTGGGCCAAAACCCATATGATGCTCCATGGATGCTCCATGGTGTATTTGAACCCATGGATCCAAGGAAATGGAAAGTCATGACAATTAGGGTTTTCCCTAATTGTAACACTATATAAAGATATTATTCTTGACAAAATCGGCCACTAGTGAGACTAAGAAAGGGCTAGCCGATTTTCATGAAGTGTAGAATTCTCTCAAGTTATTCCAAGTGTATTTGGTGTTGTGTGAACCATTTGAGGTGTCACACTTGGGGCACTAGGCACTCAAGCTTCATGAAGACATTCTACATCAAAGAGGTATGTATTCTATCTTGTTATATTGATAATTTTGTATGCTAGATTAGGATAATACCTTGGATGTTCATATTTGCATGTATAGTAGAGAAAACATAGATCCAAGGTATTTAGGGTTGCATGTACACTTAGGCGTGTTAGAATGCTCATAACCCAACAATTTTGGGGTCTACTTACTGGCTCCGGCTGATCGTACATTTCACATTCACTTTTACTTCTTTTGAAAACCATTTCGAAATCATTTTGAAAATCTTTCCTTCATTTGAGACCGGATTCATACGAGTGTTCCTCCAATTCACTCAAACCAAGGCTATGATACCAACTTGTAACATCCATAAAATTCGAGCCAATTTAAAACCTTTTAAATCATTTAAAACCATTCAGTCATTACAATTTGTTTTCAAAATAGTTTAACCATTCAGAAATCATAATCATCAATCGAGGAAGTGTACGGTCACGCCTTCGCCTTCCCGCGGCCATCCACTAAACATGAAACAATAAAGTGAAACTGTAAGCCCGAAATCTTAGTGAGTTACCCCTAAAATACCCATACACACAATAATACACATACAATAACAAACAGCATACTATGGGTCCAATCATCCATCGAGATGGAATACCCAAGGCCCTCAACCATTGGGTTGGAATGCAAACATACCAATACACTTCACATAACACATATACAACTAATAACATGTACTGCATCCACAACTTTATAGACTGGATTATCCCTGGGCCCACAATGTGAGTCTGGATTACCCTCCTGGCCCACAGCTCACATCTGCATTGCCATCGAGCCAACATCACGAGTCTCCCTCATCTCGTATCTGGAATGCTCCCGGGTTTGTTGGTTACCGCACGGAGCAGTTTCACCTCAACCCATCCCACATAATATGTCGACATATAACACAACTAATGCACATACAGATAATCACATAATACTACAGGTAGTCCTATAGATCTACCTAACTGGAATAGCAACTAACATGTAACACTAACTCATACTCAACATAATACCAACTACTAGGATATTGATGTGCACGAAAGTACCCATTAATTTTAATATTTATAACCTAACAAAGTTAGACTAACTATGCACTTATAGGCAGTGTACCTAGTCAGATTACAGCATAGCTTAGGTAAGTCGGGTGTCGATCACAGGGAACGGTGAATTAATTTAATATTTTTGATTATAGGTTACAGGTCACACGAAAAGAATAAAAGAAATAGTTTAATAAATCTCAAACTAATAATTAATTAACAACTCTCGATAAACTAACAGGAAAACAAATCTCTTCAGGTACTTTGGTTTAGACAAGTTACACCTTAAGAACATAGACAATTGCATACACAAAGTCATTTATTCATGTTCACCGATTCCTAAAATGATTAGATTCGCGTTCACTATAACTAATCCTTTAGCAAACAAGTCAATTTAAACAGTGATCAATTGGTTAAACTAGCATGCTTCCTAGTGTTCAGTTCGTATCAAGCAAGACTTGCAAATATAGTTAACCAAATTAAAACATTCAATTAACCTCTTGTTGATGGTCATCAAACAAGGCTCACACATTAACTTACTTATTCCCATGTTAATCTTAGTTTCACATTCGTTATTCCTAGACTTATAATCTCGATGGTCATCAAAATCATAAGAGACAAGCAATCAAGCATATGTTCATACAACTCAATTCACTTAACAATTAACAGCAAATAATTATCATTAATACGTAAGGATCTTTTAACAAGCTTGGCAAGATAAATTAAACACGAACAAACTATTCAATATAGCAATTAGTCTAATAATCAAAGCTTCATTCAATCATAAACTCAAAGTAAAAGGTTTTTACACCCAAGTCAGAAACTAAATACATAATAGTAACACAATGGAATGCTAAACATGGTCACGTTAACAGCCCATATGATTACCAACACGTATCTGCTCTCCAACCCTTCCGATCTCCGCTCCCGTTAGCTTAACGGCATTCCGGCCGCCTTCTAGACCCTCAAAACGGCTTAACAGAAGTTAATTATCGACTAAATTAGGTTAGAAGTCGAATCCCCCCTCCTGGTTAGCTGAAAATCAACTTTTATAACCTTTGTAGCCGACTTAAGTACGCTGAGCGTACATCAGATTACGCGGGGCGTAGTCAAGATTTACACGCGATTGAACTTATCCGAAGCCAACCAGTACGTGGGGTGTACCCTTAAATTACGCAGGGCGTACTGTGATTTTGGGCACTACTCTGGGCGTAATGCGAAGTTACGCGGGGCGTAATCCACTCCTTCAGCATTTTTAATTTCTTTTAGCTCCTAAGTCTGGTTTCCGCTTCAGTCTTTTCTTTTGTGCTTTATCTACAACGAATAGCTGCAAAACATAATTCAAAGTATTATAAGTACTTTTTAGTTCTAAAATAGAATAAATAAGGCCAAAATATTAAGATAAAGTGCATATATATATATATATATATATATATATATATATATATATATATGTATAAATACACATATCAAAATACCCCACACTTAGCCTTTGCTTGCCCCCAAGCAAATTTTACTTTTATTTTACCAATATTGCACTAGACAATCCATTTAAAACTCAGCCATTATGTCAAGACCTCAACGCATGCATTTGTGTCTAAAATTTTCCTAAAGTACCCCCCATACTTTAAATACTCACAATCTTCATAAACACTTGCCCACTTTTTCTGAACAATGCTCATTTTATGCAACCCTCCGAATCCATCCGCAGAAAATCTCCTAACCTCAAGGTATTTTTAGTTGAGCAACCTAAGCATACATAATCTAGAATTACAATTTATGATACCACTATGGAGCTTTTTAGGAATTCTTCACTTTCTTGACAATTTGATCTTTGATTTCTTTGAATTCACCACCTTATTTGATTTGATTTCTTGGTATCTTCAACTTTTTGAATTTCTTGAAATTTTGATCATTTGATCTTCACTTTATTTGCTCCAAAATTCTTCAAACTTTTTCGTAATTCTCTCTTTTTTTTTACATGTACCTCTCTTTTTTCACTCAAAACCTACATGCTTAAGCAGAGGCGCTCAACCTCAACCTTTATTGGTTAATGATAATAATTTTCCTGGATACATTTCAGGTTTAGGCTGCTAAACATATTGCATCCTTCAAACCGAGCGGGTTATGTTTTTGTTCCATGATTTCACTAAAATAAGGGAAGCCACAAATGCATATAACGTATATTGGCTCAACTAAACATTTGAGTTCTCATCGGATCATCTCATACAATATTAGCAAAATTTTAAATTATCACTAGATTTTTCTAAATTAAACTATTATTTCAAGTTTTTTTTTTTTTTTTTTTTTTTTTTTTTTTTTTTAAATTTCCCTAAATCTAGCAATTTCCAACTATTATTTCATTTTAATAATTTACTTTTACCGACCCCCTACCCCACACTTATTTCATACAATGCCCTCATTGTATGCTAAAACAAATTAAGAACATAAAAAGGGAGAAAAATGAACAGACTCCCCTGGGTAGTTGTGGCGAGATCGAATGGGGCTGCTACAGGTTGCTTCAAATATTGCTGAAAAACTGAAAACTGGAACTGCTGCTTCTGAATTTGCCGAAAAATAAAATCAAGACCGCCGACTTCAAAAAATGTGGTGCAAAAGATCGCAAACAAATGCAATGTATAATAACCATGACGTGGGAAAGTTTCGACCACGTCGTCTCGTCAAGAATGACATCCTCTTCTCGCGATGAAAAATCCCCCACAACATAGGAAAGTGTCAACCATGTCGTGGCAGCCGGGATGATACTTCTTCCTCGCGTCGAAATACAACTCTAATAAATATGCACCCCACACTTATGAAAAATTGTGGGTCTTGACTATAACCTTCGAACACTCACACGGCTCTCTCTAGCAACAGTCGGACCTTGCTGCTGAACTTACTGCCAGCATCCTAAGGGCGAAAATTCTACAGAAATCTAAACAAGCAAAGAGCATCAACATGGACAACAAAAGTAAAACAAACTAAATTAAAGATCAATTACACACCAAATAAAAATACTTAACTAAACTAAAAATAACACAAAATAAAAATAAAAATAAAAAGGATAACTAAATCACTCATCATCTCCATCATCATGCTGTTGTGTCCCAGAAGTACCGACCCCATCATATCGTGACTGAAATGGTGGTGGGTAGGGAACCAAATACTGAAACCCCTGGTGGGCAAAGAATGCGTTCAACGCATTCCCTTGCCACTGTTGTTGCCTGTCCACATGTGCAACATACTCACTAAGGTTCTGGACCCTCATGTTAAGACGATCAATGCCTTGAGCTAGGTAGCGCATATCAATCTCCGGCTCAGGTCCCTGCTGCGCTCCCCGAGGAGTAGGTCTACGTCGCTGGACCCGTCTCGGCTGTGGTTCGGTGGCACCCTCCTCATCTGCCACATTACCTGCTCGTACTCTCAAGACACCATCTCCACCCCGCTCCAATACACGCATCGACTCTAACAGCTGAAGACTCATCGGCCTCATGTAGTGGAACACTATCGATCTCGTGATCTCACGCGTCAGCAACTGATATGACCGGGCTAAACGCATGATAAAATGCCCTCCGCAAATCGGGTTGTCCCCCCGAAGTCCCATGGCCCTCCATCCCAAATATACAGCTAAAGCAACTGGAAGGTTCAGGTGCCTCCCTGGAGTAACAAGCGCCCATAGGAAATACAAGTCCGTCGAAGGCACTCTCTCACTGTTCTTGTGATGCGTGAGAGACATAGAAATCAACCGGTGCAACATTCGGTAGATAGTAGACCGAATCATCCCCCCTCGTGCGGTAGATGGTGTATAAACTGCCCCTGTAATCTCGGCCCAAAAAGTGTTCTCGTTATAGTCATCTGGCCGCTCCGTAAGATAATTAGCAAGGAATACCGGGAAGTGGACACTCCTCATCTCATCGGCTGTGTAAATTCCCACTCGAGTCGCAAGCACTATCACGCTGCATTCCCGGCTCACTCCACCCAGTCTGAAGGCAAAAGCTGTCCTGTCATCGGGTGCCTTCCTAGGATCATAGGAAACTGTAGCATAGAACTCCAGCAAAAACTCCCGATAAATAGGCTCCTGGATCCGGAACAAACGTGCCCATCCCTGACACACAAACAAGTCCACACCACTCGCGTCCGAGTGCGTGTATTGCAAAAATCCCTGGATCAATGCAGCTAGTCCAGTCCTGGTAGCCAATTCCCAATCGAATGATGGCGCTATATCAATATCTTTGGTGAGAAGCAAGCTCAAGTTGGTGACATAACGCGCCCGGGTAGCATCGTTCAGCGATTGCGGAAATTGTAAAAAACGATGGTCGGTCACATCCTCGGGTGGGTTGGTCCTTTGCGTCCTTCGAGCCATAATCTGCACAAATACACACAAACACAAAACCAAACAAAATATGGTAGCATTAATAAATTTTAAACCAAAAAAAATGGTGCTGGATAGGGACAGTACGCTGGGCGTACGTCCAGGTTCCACAAGTCTGTGTCCCGGTTCCTTTACTTGTGCTAAAGTCATAATCCATATCCAAATAAACACAGCAAGGGCAACAACACAATTAATTTAACATTGTGTGGTCCAAAGGCTGTAGGAGAAAAGTTGGGACCACCCTTAAAAATCAATCCTTCGTAATCTCTTTGTCTAGTGACAGTACTCAACAGGGAATCATGTGTAGCAGTCAAGATCTCGAAGTCAACAGGGGTACGCTTGGCGTCCGTTCCCAAGTTTAAAACGATGGGTGTGGGATGGGGATTAAGACCAGCTTAAGTCCTAGGATTTAGTCTATTAGTTCGAATCAGTCTATTTAAGCCATAATCAAACACAAATTTGTGAAATCGGCTCCTAATTCGAGAACCCTATAAACCCTAGATTTCGAGCAAAGGCATTCTGCAGCCAATTTCGTCGATTTAAACCCAAATCCAGTATATTGAGTACCCGAAAAAACTTACTTGTTTATCGAATTTAACAAGAAATGAAGAAGAATCGAAAATCTTGGAGAGAGTTGCCGTCACAGTTCGTGTGCGAGAGTAGAAGAGGATTGAAAGAATAACACAAAAGTCAAGGGGCAAAAGATATAACCTGGTCGTCATGTTATGCTGGGCGTAACCTCACCTCCTTGAAAATCCATACGCGATCAGATGTCAATTACGCTTGGCGTAATAAAACTTACGCGGGGCGTAAGTTTAAATGAAACTTTTTTTTTCTTTAATTTAACTTCCTTTTCTTTTAATTATTTAATTAAGGGACTTAAAACTTAATTATTTTTTTCTTTTTAATTTCTTCAGCAAATGACTTTCCGATGAGTGAAAAAGAAAATGAGACGTCATAATCACTTATCTTTGTCGAGATCAAACAACAACGGTTGATCAAAAACCTTTGCATGCAAGAATTGGTTTACGAAAACATCCACTTTCGGGACCCGTTAGAATATTTCCTTTGTTTTCCTTGCACCTTTAACTAAAAGTGGAACAAGAAGTGACCTAACTAGTCAAGAACAACAAGAGCTCGGTCTTCCACTTAACCACCACAATACGCCTTGCTATACTACGCCTCATGGATTGAGTTGGAAAAATCAACAAAGTAGTAGGCTAAGCAGGTCAAGAATTCCCTAATCGCTTTCATTCTCGAAACCCATGCAAAAAGTAAAGTCAAGCAATGTGTACAATCCCAAATTCCTGCAAATAAAAACAAGAACCTTCCCGACAAGTGAAATGATATCATCGAAAATCAAAATAAAAACTAACTAAAAACTAATAACGAATAATCAAATAAACTAAATTAATGACAAACCGTTCCCCGGCAACGGCGCCAAAAACTTGATGTGCACGAAAGTACCCATTAATTTTAATATTTATAACCTAACAAAGTTAGACTAACTATGCACTTATAGGCAGTGTACCTAGTCAGATTACAGCATAGCTTAGGTAAGTCGGGTGTCGATCACAGGGAACGGTGAATTAATTTAATATTTTTGATTATAGGTTACAGGTCACACGAAAAGAATAAAAGAAATAGTTTAATAAATCTCAAACTAATAATTAATTAACAACTCTCGATAAACTAACAGGAAAACAAATCTCTTCAGGTACTTTGGTTTAGACAAGTTACACCTTAAAAACATAGACAATTGCATACACAAAGTCATTTATTCATGTTCACCGATTCCTAAAATGATTAGATTCGCGTTCACTATAACTAATCCTTTAGCAAACAAGTCAATTTAAACAGTGATCAATTGGTTAAACTAGCATGCTTCCTAGTGTTCAGTTCGTATCAAGCAAGACTTGCAAATATAGTTAACCAAATTAAACATTCAATTAACCTCTTGTTGATGGTCATCAAACAAGGCTCACACATTAACTTACTTATTCCCATGTTAATCCTAGTTTCACATTCGTTATTCCTAGACTTATAATCTCGATGGTCATCAAAATCATAAGAGACAAGCAATCAAGCATATGTTCATACAACTCAATTCACTTAACAATTAACAGCAAATGATTATCATTAATACGTAAGGATCTTTTAACAAGCTTGGCAAGATAAATTAAACACGAACAAACTATTCAATATAGAAATTAGTCTAATAATCAAAGCTTCATTCAATCATAAACTCAAAGTAAAAGGTTTTTACACCCAAGTCAGAAACTAAATACAGAATAGTAACACAATGGAATGCTAAACATGGTCACGTTAACAACCCATATGATTACCGACACGTATCCGCTCTCCAACCCTTCCGATCTCTGCTCCCGTTAGCTTAACGACATTCCGTCCGCCTTCTAGACCCTCAAAACGGCTTAACAGAAGTTAATTATCGACTAAATTAGGTTAGAAGTCGAATCCCCCCTCCTGGTTAGCTGAAAATTGACTTTTATAACCTTTGTAGCCGACTTAAGTACGCTGAGCGTACATCGGATTACGCGGGGCGTAGTCAAGATTTACACGCGATTGAACTTATCCGAAGCCAACCGGTACGTGGGGTGTACCCTTAAATTACGCAGGGCGTACTGTGATTTTGGGCACTACGCTGGGCGTAATGCGAAGTTACGCGGGGCGTAATCCACTCCTTCAGCATTTTTAATTTCTTTTAGCTCCTAAGTCTGGTTTCCGCTTCAGTCTTTTCTTTTGTGCTTTATCGACAACGAATAGCTGCAAAACATAATTCAAAGTATTATGAGTACTTTTTAGTTCTAAAATAGAATAAATAAGGACAAAATATTAAGATAAAGTGCATAAAATATATATATATATATATATATATATATATATATATATATATATATAAATACACATATCAGATATCATATCCAATGGGCCGGCCTTGATGCCTTAGACCCCTTAGTATATTGAGGATAACTCACCTCACAACTGACGCGCTGAAGTGATAAGATCCACTCTCGGATCATTGTCACAACTCCAGCACCTATATTCACCATAGAACCATACTTATAATTTCCAATTTCCCAAAATGCTCCCAGAAGTCAACTATTCATCCCTTGGTCAAGGTCAATAGTCCATGTTAACCTCAACTCGCCGAGTACAACCAGCCACTCGTCGAGTTCCTTGCATAACTCGTTGTCCAACTTGTCGAGTTCCTAATGTTTGCGGCCATAAAATCCTTGGCCAACTCATCGAGTTTCCCTGTAACTCACCGAGTTCATGCTTTCCAAAAGCTGGGAAAGCCCTTACTGGCTCGCTAAGTCACCCTATTGACTCGTCGAGTTCACGACAATCTTCATCGGACTCGTCGAGTTGACCATGCCACTCACCGAGTCCCTTCAGTCCATTATCCATACAGATGCTTTTTAATCCATGATAAGGTCCCATATTGCAGATCCGGATTCCCAAGGCATGTTGATCACGTAAAGTTGCAAACTTTACGTGCATGCAAGGCTCTAAAGCCTTATAATGACAAAACCAAGCTTGCAATGGATTTTAACACTTAAGGAGAGGTTCACACTTGCTAAAGCTGAAAAATTTATGGACTTAGAGACCAAAGAGAGTTCAGATCTGAAGTTACAACTTCAGATCTTAGCTCATACCCAATAATATCTTCTTATTATGCTACAAAAGCCCAAATATTTAACCCAATAAGATCTAGAATGAGATGAGGTCAAGGAAACTACTTGATACGTTCCAAAAGATGATAACTAAGGTAGATTTCAAATCCCATATGTTCTTTGCTCCTAGCCACTTGCTCTCCAAGTTCTTCTTATAAAGATCCCCCCTAAAGCTTGAAACACACAATAATGGAGCACACTCACAAATTAAAGTTTGTTGAACTCTCAAGAGGCTGCAAGGAGGCTAATGATCCCTTAAATAAGGTGCAAACCCCAAAAATTAGAGTTTCATCATCCAGCTCCTACTCATCGAGTCCCTTCTTGGACTCGGCGAGTAGGTCACTTAAACACGTGGACCAACCCACTGCTACTCGATGAGTCAGGACATCCATCATGTCGAGTAGACCTTAAATTATGAAAAATAACCATAAATTAATACTTGAGAATCGATGCGATACATTACACTTTATAAATCGTTAGTTGAGTGTGTGTGGTTAACCAGCACACTAATACAGACTAATAAAGCGATGTAATGGGTATCTCATAAGTTATCATTGTTGAGGGAGAGTGTGTGGTTTACCAACACATATATTGAGATGATAAATTACAATGAGGTTACCAAGCACATTTGCATGGTTATTCACATCTTGTTTATGATCCTCTGTATCCCTCATAAATAGAAGAGCATAATCTGAGATTAAACATGCCATTGAATAGTTTCAATGAATCTCAAAAGATCTAGTAATTTCATCAAAACTTAGTTTCCTTTTAAAACTTTTGTTTTTTATTGGTGGAATTGGTAAATCGTCATTTACCAACCTTTATAAAATTTACAATTAGATTACGACATCCCTTTTATAAGTTGTGAATTATATACTTGGATTCTAGCCTTAATATTTTGTTTTTGAGATGCTATATTAAGGATTATTCTTATATAACTGAAACTAACTTCCTTTATAGATGTCTACTCCAAATGATGCTTATTGTTCCTCCTCCTCCAATCAAAACTTCTTGTTTTTTGAAGATCTACTCAAAGGCGATGTTGGATGGCACCAATTACAACGACTGGATGAACAAAATTAAAATGGCCCTTCATTTCGACGGCAAGGATTATGTCCTTGAGAAATAACACCAACTGAGATTGATGAAGAGAAGGCCACTCCTGAAGAATTAGTCGCCTACAAGAGGCACTACAATGATGCAATAAAAGTTGCTTGCATCATGGTCGCCATGATGAACCGTGAGTTGCAGAGATTCTATGAGGATTACTGGACGTATGAGAGGAACAAGGACCTT